AGGGATTCAAACAAACAGGTATATGCAGGCATAACAAATATTTAAAACGCATGACATGGAACACATACAATAGCTGACATTTAACACCAACTCAATAATGTTTACTCTGTGCTAAACACCTCACAACAATGTGGAGCTGATATATCAGTGGAAGAAGTGACTACATCAGTCAGTTACAATGCTGAAATATAGGAAAACTGCAGGTGTTGTTGAAGTATTTACTGAAGCTTAAATTTTTGGAGAAAAACGAAGAGAGAGATTAGAAGCATACTGGAAATTGATTAGCAATGAGCAAGGCAAGTTCTGTGGTGGATGAGGGTGTAGATCATATATTTGCACTGAGACAACATAGTAAGACTACATGATGTACATGACATTGATGCAATTCAAAAATGCTTATAACAAAGTTAATACAAAAAAAAAGGACTGAAGAATGATGTGTATGTATGGAGTTGTCAATGTTAATGAATGCTGTGAAAGGTTTTTGTAGGCAGCAATGTATGTGTAAGAATAAATGTTGTAACGATTGATTGGATGTTAATATAGGTATGCTCTAGTGTTGCCTGATATCACCCTGGTACCCATCCTGCTCTCTCTCTCCCATCCTTCCCCTTCACTTTCCATGTTATCCTTCTCTTCCTCCATCTCCCCCCCCCATCCTTATTCTCCCTCTCCACCTTTCTCCCCCATCACCTCCCCAACTACCTCCCCTCTCTTCCAGCTTCCCCTTCCCACCCCCACTCCCACCAGTGTCTCTCTAAACATGCAAAAATACATATATTTTACAGTTGTTATCTGATGCTGTTTTGTAACAGTGTAGTTATGACTGTTGTGGTTACATTGTAAGATGGGATATTATGATCAGTTGAAAAACTTTAAAAAAACTGGAAAATGAACCTCCATTTCTGACTTCGTAAGATTCTCTGAGAGTCCAATTAGGAGCTGATCTTTCTTAGAGAGAGACAATGTGGCTGACCCCAAATGGTCTATAGCACTCGCATATCCTCCAGCTTTAATGTTGGAAAGTTGGGTGAGGTTAGCCCCAAGCCTCTGTCCTCCAACCTCAGACAGACAGTTTTCATAAATATTCATGGATTGGGTCATAGAAGTAAAGACCCAATTTGTAAGAGATTTGTAAACTGAGCTTTTTTTTTTCTGTTGAGCCCATATTAGTAACTGATGCAGAGAGTGACAAAAGAGCCATGTGAACAGCTAAATAATTTATTGATATGTGAGAGAAGATTGTTAAAAGTAGATGTGGACAAAAGTAAAATTATGATGTCAGGGAGTGAGGAAAAAGTGTTATATATATGTAAATGGTGTAAAGGGCACTTGACAGCTGAGTGGACAGCACTTCGGATTCGTAGTCCTGAGGTTCCGGGTTCGATCCCCAGTGAAGGTGGAGACAAATGGGCAAAAAGTTTCTTTCACCCTGATGCTCCTGTTACCTAGCAGTAAATAGATACCTGGGAGTTAGACAGCTGCTACAGGCTGCTTCCTGGGGGTGTGTAACAAAAAGGAGGCCTGGTTGAGGACCGGGCCATGGGGACGCTAAGCCCCGAAATCATCTCAAGACAACCTCAAAGTGGTGAAGTGCTGGAGTAGTTGATTAATTTAAATACCTGAGATGTGTGACTGGCATCATAAATCTGTGTAATCAAACATAAGTGTAGGGTAAGATAGAGCCTCTGCCTCATATACACATGGGGTCCGTGGTTTGAGTCTCCTAGAGCCCAGGTTAATGAAATGAAATAAATGTAAGGTCATTCAGGGAAGAAAAGGGTTTTCTGCATGAAAGTTCTAATTATTACAAATTTAATAGGAATAGATGGTGCACAAAGGAGTGGTGGTTGCTGACTGTATGGTATAGATAAGAAAAAGGAATGTTAGAGTAGTAGTAACAAATCAACCGAGAGACATATACTTGTCTAGTTATATTTCAACCCATCCTCCTGTTTGGATAGTAGTTTTGTAACTATGCACCATAGTACAAAGATTGACATCCTAGGCAATTGGATAGTATAATTTTATACTAAGTATAATATAGTCCCAAAAAATGAAGATAAAAAAACATAAATAGTCCTAGGCCTAAGCCTAGGAAGGTTAAGTTACTTTAGTTTGTCTTTGCAACATAAATAGAAAATCTTCTGGTTTATCCAAATTCAATAGTTTTGATTTGGGATTTAGTTCCCATTTGAGTACTTGGTTCCCATTTATGTTCCCCTTGTTTGTGTACTACCCATGCTAAATAGTCTACCCATGTCTGTCCTGTATTTCCCTAAGTATTTTGTATATGGTAATCATGTCTTCCCTGTTTTTTCTCTCTTCCAATGGTGTGAGGGGTTACGTCCTTTCCTCGTAATTTACATCTCTTAGCTCTGGGACAAGTCTCATGGCATACCTCTGAACTTTCTTCAGCTTTCTTTTGTGTTTAACAAAACAAGGACTCCGCATTGATGCTATATTGTGCTAGGAGAATAGTTAGAGATTTAAATATAATGTAAATACGTAGATATAAATGTAAATAAACTGCAGGACTGAGGAGAACGTAGTGAGGTGGTTTGAACATTTTCAACAAATAGTATATTTATCTAACTTATACATGAAGCAATCCAGCGACTGCATGTTATTTTGTTATATGGCGGCATGTTATGAAACAATTCTACTCTGTATTTCCAAGCCAATACTTATCCAAGACTCCAAACAGGTCTTTTCTGAACTTAAAATGATCTAACTTGTATCCATTGTTTCCTGTTCTATTTGGTGTTGATATATTTATCACCCTTACTCTTTGCTTTTCTACATAATATAAATCAGGGTTTTTTAATCTTCACACGAGAGGTTTCTAATGCTCCTTTCTGATTTTCTATGTATGCTTTTTAGAGATTTAATACCCGTGCTGTGATACCGCGACCAATACTGAACTGCATAATCTAAATGCATAGGGCCTATAGATTGCATTATTTTATGAAAACTATAATAATAGAGTACTATCTTTTTGCGTTGTCTCTGGAGACTTAATCTATCGTGACGAAGTAATTAACAAAAGGCACGAAGCCAGGGAGACTGTTGCACCAATATTGTGACTAGAAGATTGTTGGTGAATGGATCGAGTAGTGATTGGAGAACAGCTCTAGGATCAGTGGTACTACTTGACACCGTTGGTAGCTCCGCCCAACGCCTCCCCCACACTACTTGATACTGTGCATCCTGATGACCTTATTAGTCACTGAGAAAGGTATGGGAGGACAATGACCTCACTGGTCGCTCGCAGGAAGGTCAGCGACCTCATTGGCCACTCACAGGAAGGCCAGCGACCTTATTGGCCACTCACAGGAAGGCCAGTGATCTCATTGGCCACTCACAGAAAGGCCAGTGACCTCATTGGCCACTCACAGGAAGGCCAGCGACCTTATTGGCCACTCACAGGAAGGCCAGTGATCTCATTGGCCACTCACAGAAAGGCCAGTGACCTCATTGGCCACTCACAGGAAGGCCAGCGACCTTATTGGCCACTCACAGGAAGGCCAGTGATCTCATTGGCCACTCACAGAAAGGCCAGTGACCTCATTGGCCACTCACAGGAAGGCCAGTGACCTCATTGGCCACTCACAGGAAGGCCAGTGACCTCATTGGCCACTCACAGGAAGGCCAGTGACCTCATTGGCCACTCACAGGAAGGCCAGTGACCTCATTGGCCACTCACAGGAAGGCCAGTGACCTCATTGGCCACTCACAGGAAGCCCAGCGACCTCATTGGCCACTCACAGGAAGGCCAGCGACCTCATTGGCCACTCACAAGAAGGCCAGCGACCTCATTGGCCACTCACAAGAAGGCCAGTGACCTCATTGGCCACTCACAGGAAGGCCAGTGACCTCATTGGCCACTCACAGGAAGGCCAACGACCTCATTGGCCACTCACAGGAAGACCAGCGACCTCATTGGCGTGAGAGACTAGTGACCTTAATGGTCACTTAGAAGAAGGTGTGGGAGACCAGACAGGACTAATTCTGTTGATCGTAATTAAAAGAAAGATCTTAGCAACGATATAGGCAAATTTATTTTTATATGAACGAAAAGTGTAAAATTTTATTAGTCTGTCTAAATCCACGCATTAGTTTTAAGATGTCTGAAACCTTTGAGTGATTACTGTCCTTTAAAGATTGTGTTTGAAATAACAAAGAAAGTAAACAATGTAACATACATAATGCATATTTTTATGAATACAATGTTGGTTTGAATATAATAATAATAATAATAATAATTATTATTATTATTATTATTATTATTATAATTATTATTAAACATAACACTACTTGAAATGGTCCAGGACGGACCGAAACGTCGTCGTTTCTCCATATTAATTCTGATTGTGCTACAATCCACAAGCACCTAGTTGTGCTTGTGGGGGTTGAGCTTTGGCTCTTTGGTCCCGCCTCTCAACGTGTCAATCAACTGGTGTACAGGTTCCTGAGCCTACTGGGCTCTTATCAAATCTACATTTGAAACTGTGTATGGAGTCAGCCTCCACCACATCACTACCTAATGCGTTCCATATTTTTAACTACCCTGACACTGAGAAAGTTCTTTGTAGTGTCTCTGATGTGTGGTCTGGACATTATTATTATTATTAGTATTATTATTATAGGTTTAGGTTGGGTTAGGAGTGAGTGTGTTGATGTGGTGTGGGTGGCGGGCCGGGTGAGTGCAGCCATGCCCACTCAGTACACCAGGATAACCACTATCACTGAACTAGCACCATTACTACCACACTCATTGCTGACTTTATCTCCAGTCATTAATTTCCTCAAGAGAAAATACCAGTTTCTCTAGTAAATTGTGTTGATATGCAATTGCGTTGCCAGGATAATATAGTAGAGGGTCAGTGTAGAGGGTGAGCTTGTGTGGAGCCAAGAGAACACACAGGTTGGGGGTTCATGATGGCAATACTTGAGCCACTTCCTGGGTGCGCCTTCCTAACCAGTCGTCCTCAGTTTGCAATACGTTTAGCACCAAAGAGCTGGAGTGTAGAGTTGAAGGCGACTGTGTATAGGATCCCAGGTCAAAAGAAAACACAAAATTTGGAGGGTGTGAATTTAAGCGCAGCAGGGCTGCTTCCTGGCCAGAAGTAACACTAAGAGAAGGCAACGTTCCGCCATGGGCAGGATAGTAAGTGTTCCATGTGCTCTACCTCTTGACTGACATTTGTCTACCTGCTTGTGGGATTTAAACACAATATACTTATGCAGACGAGGAGTTACAATAGCGTGGCTGAAATATGTTGACCAAACTACACTAGAAAGTGAAGGGACGACGACGTTTCGGTCCGTCCTGGACCATTCCCAAGTCGATTGTGTGTCGACTTGGGAATGGTCCAGGACGGACCGAAACGTCGTCGTCCCTTCACTTTCTAGTGTGTGGTTTGGTCAATAAAATACGTATGTAGCTGCGAGCTTGTTGGCCGAGGCGTGTTATTTCTATTAATGTTAAACAGTATTTGTTTTGTGTACTCATCTCAATTAGATATATTTGCAGGGTCGACCTTAAGCGTCTAAGCTCTCACCTTTCCAACTATCGATTGGTTAATGCAATGATTCTTACTGTATGTAACTTACAAGATTTACAACTCGGGCTGCTTCAACGACATGCCACTGTAACCGTTCCGTTCATTTGGTTTCCCATTGTCGGGGACTGGAATCCTGTTAGGTTTATCGAGGTTCATCTGATTGATGAAGATTAAGCCACCCAAAAGGTGGCACGGGCATGAATAGCCCGTAAGTGGAGGCCCTTTTGAGCCATTACCAGTATCAATAGTTGATACTGGAGATCTGTAGAGGTGCGACTGCACCCTGCGTGACGGGAGATGTCTCCCGTCCGAGGTTCATCTAGGCAGGGATTCTTATATAGTTTTTAAGATTACAGATCCCCAGAGGTTTACCCAGTGGGCCCTTCCTTCGCCATCGTCCAGAACATCACCACCACCAGTCCTATCGGGTATCACTATAACTTCAAAACAAATATCAATAGATTTGCTTTACTTTACATATGGGAACTATTTATTTATTTATTTTATTATTTTTTTTATTTATACAAGAGTTCTTACATTCCTGTACAGCCATTAGCACGCATAGCGTCTCGGGCAAGTCCTTAACCGTAATTTTCCCTGGAATATGACTCGCCAAATCGTTTAACCACCAGGTACACCACGGGGACTGTCAAGAACAGAAGAGCTGAAATAAAATCACACTGATTTTATATTTGTTTATAGACAAGCGGTAAATCACAAATACACAAGCTAGCTGCAGCTAATGAGATTTTTTATGTTTCTCCTGCCATGAAAATATGGTATCAATATATATAAATACGGGCTGTTCCATGTATCAGCTCGTCCTCCAAACAAAGACCCAAAAGTGATTCCATGCACCCGCCAAACCCCCTGTTTATGAATGAAAAACGGTTTACACACGACTCACAACTGCTGACGTTCGAACACTTCGGAACAAGTGCTTCACTGACGAATTTTGTTCGAACCACAACGCTACAAATGCAAATAATCGCCAACAGAACCTAAACACCTAGCCTAACCTAATTTAACCTATGCCTATGCATGCACAATATGTTAATATATTATAATATTAATTTATATTTGAGAAAATTCACGTTTTGAATGAACAGCATGTAAAAGTTTACGAATGCGTCTGTGGGGTCGACCGCTGGATGTAATGGACTTGAGTCGAGGACGGGTTGGAGAACGAGGTGCTCGCTGGATGCAAACACATATTCTTGTTCCGTATTGTATATTTCTTTTCGTGTTCTTGAATATGTATCGTATCTATGTTTCATATATTGCATTGCATGTTTTTCAGAGTGTATTCATAGTGGTTTGGCTGACGTTTAGCGGCGGAGGGCTGTGTGATGGTGAAGGGAACGAGCACGGGACTCCAGCAGCTGACACTCTCCTTCACGCCAAACACGCTCCTTCCTTCCCCTCCAGGACCGACACGGTAATTTTTTGTTTACAACACTTCCCTCATTATCACGGGGCGGCTGACGTATTGGTGGATCCTGTTTGTGTTTGTGTGTGTGTGTGTGTGTGTGTGTGTGTGTGTGTGTGTGTGTGTTTACAGCCTCTCTATTCTGTATGTCTTTAAACGTGTTTGTATAGTAAATCAATATAAATCGGAGGGACAGATTTGGATGAAATATGGTTGGAATGCTGATCACGTACTGAAGGCTTTTAGGCCCTATACTGGTTGAAGAATATACCCTTATTGTGAGGTTACCTTGAGATGGTTTCGGGGCTTAGCGTCCCCGCGGCCCGGTCGTCGACCAGGCCTCCTGGTTGCTGGACTGGTCGACCAGGTTGTTGGACGCGGCTGCTCGCAGCCTGACGTATGAATCACAGCCTGGTTGATCAGGTATTCTTTGGAGGTGCTTACCAACTTCTCTCTTGAACACTGTGAGGGGTCGGCCAGTTATGCCCCTTATGTGTAGTGGAAGCGTGTTGAACAGGCTCCGGCCTGTGGGCATTTCTGCCGATTAACTACGCAGTTATAATTTACGCATTAATATGCTAAATTATAACTACACTTATAATTTATACATGAATATGCTAAATTATAAGTGCGTAGTTAATCTGGAGAAACTCCCCTATACTCTCCTATAGGGGGATTAAAAAAAGGTTCATACAGAAACAGGGAACAGAAGAGGGATGACTAAATTATCTCAACAGCAATGGCTAAAGTTTCATTTATCACAAACTGTTAACCGTACCTGAGTATGGTAAGATAGTGGTCATTAATTAGTCTTGTGAAACCTGTGTTGGTAATCACAGAAAAAAAATTACACCGTTGAAGGTACTTAGATAATTGTATAATATAGTAGTTGACATGAGGATAACAGTTAGTTAAAATAAGACTAGTGAGATAATCCCTCCAGTGGTGTAAATATAGTATGTCAGGTATTAATTCTATAACCGAAGTAACTCAGTTCTCTTGTATTTTCTCAAAACTGTTATTAACAAAACTTAAAATTTGGTAATATATATATCTCAAGCTTTTTTAGTTTTCGTGCTAATTAGAGAAATATATTTATATTATACAGGCGATGAGTCACAATAACATGGCTGAAGAATGTTGACCAGACCACACACTAGAAAGTGAAGGGACGACGACGCTTCGGTCCGTCCTGGACCATTCTCAAGTCGATTGTGACTTGAGAATGGTCCAGGACGGACCGAAACGTCGTCGTCCTTCACCTTCTAGTGTGTGGTCTGGTCAACATATATATTATACTATATTGTTGTATAATTATACACAAATTCCACAATTGATGAGAGAGAGTAGGCTACATCTGCATGTCAACATTACAGGGTTACAGTGAAGGTGACACGCCACCTCCCAACAACCCAGCCATTAAATTTTCTGGCAATATTGTAAAACAATATAATGCCGTCGACGACAGCGATAGTGACAGGGCCGACGTCGAGCAAGTGCCCGTTGATGTCGGGAGCAGCAGCAGCAGCAGCGGGGTGTCCACAGGAGTCGTCAGCACCAACAGGAAGTCGACAGATGATGGCGAACAAGGTACTGGCGTGAGCAGTCGCCGATCCACATCCTTCGGTCCAGTGTCATCGCCGTTCTTCTTCATGTGTCAGTATCCACGGACAGGGGAGCCGTCTGGCGCTGGCCAGGAAGACGTCACTCTCAAAGTCCAGTTTACCGGCAACAAAACTCCTAGTAATGGCTATGATCCTCTTGCTGTGTACGAAGGTCAGTCCACGCTCCTGCTGAGCACAAGTTTGTTATTCAACAAATATTATCTGTATGTAGACGAGGAGTCACAATAACGTAGCTGAAGTATGTTGACCAAACTACATACTAGAAAGTGAAGGGACGACGACGTTTCGGTCCGTCCTGGACCATTCTCAAGTCGATTATCTTGAGAATCGACTTGAGAATGGTCCAGGACGGACCGAAACGTCGTCGTCCCTTCACTTTCTAGTGTGTGGTTTGGTCAACAAATATTATTTTGCTATTCTACTCCCCAGCCCCGGGTGGAACCCCAGTACTACGTGTGTTTGTACAACTGTTATAGGGGAAGATTACCCACCAGTGTCGAGAATTTGTCATGTTTCAAACTTGGTACTAGTTTAGGAACCCCATTTTTTTGTTTTAACTATGCAAATCCAGTAGATAGCGGAGGGAGGTTTGCTGACGCGGGTGTTTAATGTTGTTGTTGTGTTGACAGTGTTGGTGACGGCCAATGTGGTGTTCGACGGGTTCCTCATCACAGGAGTCCACGCCTTCACTAAGCAGTTCACTCAAGCTAATTACCTCACCCTGCCTGCCTCCATGCACGTGAGTGTATGCGTGTGTTGGGAGCATGTATGTGTGTGTGTGTATTCACCTAGTTGATTCACCTAGTTGTGCTTGCGGGGGGTTGAGCTCTGCTCTTTCGGCCCGCCTCTCAACTGTCAATCAACTGTTTCTACTACTACTACTACTACTACTATTTTTTCCCCACACCACACACACACCCCAGGAAGCAGCCCGTGACAGCTAACTCCCAGGTACCTATTTACTGCTAGGTAACAGGGGCATAGGGTGAAAGAAACACTGCCCATCGTTTCTCGCCGGCGCTCGGGATCGAACCCGGGACCACAGGATCACGTGTACAGCGTGCTGTCTGCTCTGCCATTGGCGCCCCACCGGCACCGGTGTGTGCCGGTGGGGCGCCGGCAAGATAACATTATCTTGTTAAACACAAAACAAAACTCGAGAAAATTGAGACGTATGGGGCCAGACCAGTCCAAAAGCTGTGAAGCTACGAGGAACGAACAAATCCACAAGGGCCGTGATGAGGGTTCGAACCTACGTCCGAGAGGATCGTAGGTTCGATGATCGTGTTACGAGGAACGACAAAAGGAGTTAAACCTCATATCACTGGAAGAGAGAAGAAACAAGAGCGACATGATTACCACACACACAATTATAAAGAGAATGGACAGGTCAGACGGGCAGACTAGAAGAGGGCAAAGCGTTGGAGGTGGAACTCCTGGACCACAGCCAGAGTGCATTGGGGGCAATGCTTGAATCCCTGATTGGGCTTCAGAGGCACCCTCAGGACTCCCAGAGGATCCATTTGAATCCCAGGTTGTATTGCTTTTACCAAGTGGTCTAGGGCGTGGGCTTGGGAGTACCATGTGTGCGGGTTCGAATCTCCTTCATAGCTCCTACTGATTTTCTTATTGATATATTAATGTGATTTCATTTCGCAAAGACAGACTACTTAGCACGGGTGTCATACGAACAAGTGGACACAGTTGGAAAATAAGTAGCTAAATGAGCCACAGAGACATTGGAAATCATTTTTGAGTGTCAGAAGTGTTGGAGGCCAACTCCATGCCAAGCTTTACTTGTCGATATGACAGCTGTCAACAGCCTGAGGAACCTGTACACTAGTCCAGGTAGCAAGGTGGGATCGAAGAACCACCATTCATCCCCCGCTAACAGTACTAGTCCAGTACATACAGTCACACCAAAATGAGTACATACATTCACATATCTTTATCCTACTTTTCCCATTATTTATAATATTTTTTGGGTGGGAGCGGCCATAAGAAATATTAGTCTTGATATTATTATATTAGTGCAAACAGCTACCGTGAATAACCTCTATTTCTCTTTTCCACACGAGGGCGGTGCGACAGAGGGGCTGGTGTGCTCTGTTCTTCACTCGCACATCTCTGCCAAGCCTCGCTCCAGCCTCTCCTTCCTGTGGATGGCGCCACCTTCCGGCACCGGCTGCGTCGCCTTCCTGTAAGTTAACCCTTCTTCCTCCTCCACCTCCGTCACGGCTACGCTACAACTCTACACAGTCAGCTGAGGGAGGTATTGATTTGACCTCCACACTGTCGACTAGGGGGTCTTGATTTGACCTCCACACTGTCAGCTGGGGGTATTGATTTGACCTCCACACTGTCGACTATGGAGTCTTGATTTGACCTCCACACTGTTGACTAGAGGGGTCTTGATTTGACCTCCACACTGTCAGCTGGGGGTATTGATTTGGCCTCCACGCTGTCGGCTACGGGGGTCTTGATTTGACCTCCACACTGTCGACTATGGGGTCTTGATTTGACCTCCACACTGTCGACTAGAGGGGTCTTGATTTGACCTCCACACTGTCGGCTACGGGGGTCTTGATTTGGCCTCCACACTGTCGGCTACGGGGGTCTTGATTTGACCTCCACACTGTCGGCTACGGGGGTCTTGATTTGACCTCCACGCTGTCTGCTGTGCTCCAGATCACACTGGACCACAGCTCTGTCTCCACCTGATCATAAATACTGACAATTAACACAAATTAAATCATTGTAATATAAAAAGAAACAAAATATGCTTGCTTGTCTCACAGGTGACCTGAAACGTGTACAGAGGCATCACTTGTTTCTTGGATATCATAGTTTTTGCATTCAGACATATTTTGCTGCTATATTGTTACCGAGATCATATATTTGTGTTGTATAGCATTTTCCGCTCATTAGTTCATTTATACATAATTTAATATTTACTCGTGTATTATTTCATGTGGTTTTTAATTGTTGAATAAAATTTTTTTTTTGTAATTGTTCATCAGGTTATTCCTTTCATGTTTGTTTATGAGTTTGTTGATTTTTTGTATTCTTTCCCCACAGAGCGCAGGGTTCATTAAGGAATCAGATTCTCTTCAAAGATTTGAGTGTCTTGGAGGTGTGTGAGAAAGGTCAGTGAACCTCTAGCTGTGTGTGTGTGTGTGTGTGTGTGTGTGTGTGTGTGTGTGTGTGTGTGTGTGTGTGTGTGTGTGTGTGTGTGTGTGTGTGTGTACTCACCTATTTGTGTCTGCAGGATCAATCATTGACTCTTGGATCCCGCCTTTCGATCATCGGTTGTTAACGGCAATGACTATGGTCCTATTTCCCTATCATATCTAGTTTTAAAAATATGAATAGTATTTGCTTCCACAACCTGTTCCTTAAGTGAATTCCATTTTTCCACTAGTCTCACGCTAAAAGAAAACTTCCTAACATCCCTGTGACTCATCTGAGTTTCCAGCTTCCACCCATGTCCCCCTCGTTCTGTAACTATTCCGTGTGAACATTTCGTCTATGTCCACTCTGTCAATCCATGATTTACAGAGTGGACAGTGTTTACAACACTGTAAACATGATTTACAGTGTTCTGACCTGATTGTTAATTAGTGATGACCTGGCTGTTGCAGACAAGTCCCTGGATCAGCTCGTGAAACATACCTCTCGCTTCGCTGGACTCAACCAACACGGATATGTCTTCAGGGACGACTTCGAGGACCATAAACTCAACGGCGACATCTGGTACGTCCATCGGCAGCGTTCTCCAAGTACTCAGTGGAGCTCATTCTTGTTGACCAACCTATGGTCGCTGTCATCCGTGGTCAATTTATAAATCTCTGTACTCAACTAATTGTGTTTGTGAGGGGGTTAGGCTTTAGCTCTTTGGTCCCATCTCCCTATTTCCAGAATTGATCTGATATATGGTATACAAGGTCCTTAACGACTCTCTTAAGACTTCTAAAAGACAGTTCTCGTGTTGGCCAATCTTTAATATGTTGACCAAACTACATACTAGAAAGTGAAGGGACGACGACGTTTCGGTCCGTCCTGGACCATTCTCAGTCGACTTGAGAATGTATTAAGGGGAATCTCAAATGTATTAATGTATCTCAAACTTAACTTGAGAATGGTCCAGGACAGACCGAAACGTCGTCGTCCCTTCACTTTCTAGTGTGTGGTTTGGTCAATATATTTCAGCCACGTTATTGTGACTCCTCGTCTGCAACCTTTAATATGCAGCTGATAGTCGTTTGATGAGGGTTTCTGGTAACAAGTTCAGTGTAATATAAATCCAAGACTTTTTCTGGCTGATTCCAACAGGCTTTCATCTACAATAGATATCTTTTGTCCGGCCTCCTGTTTCTAGTACCCAGCTTCATTTCATTGCACTTGCTTATGTTAAACTCTAGTAATCACGTCTTGGACCATTCATTAATTATGTCCATGCTATCCTATTGTTTCTTGCTGTCTAATATCGTAAGATATTGATAGGAATGATTCAATCCTCTGGTAAGTCGTTCATATCGATTGGTAATAGGATTAGGGGTTTAGTGCTTTCTCCTGATAATTACCTTACCTTACCTTCTGCCGGTTTCTCCAGGTTGTGCTCCAAGTCTCCTGTAGTGGAGTCCTCCAGTGCTGCTTGGGTTGACACCATCCCATTAGTACTGATGTAAAATCATAACGGATTACCGCTTTCTTCTACTAATTACATTAAATTCCCCTTAATACTGGAACTTGCTCTAGTGCGAAAACCTGGATTCTTCTGCCGAGTTCATCACACATTCTTCTCCAATTCTCAGTGAATAAGCCCTTTCTTGTTGTTAATTATGTCATCTGTTTGTTAATTAACTGGTGTTTTCCTCCTGCGGTGGCTGTGAAGTATCTCAAGTTGGGTCTGTTCTTGTCTGTAACGTCTTCTTCAAATTGTCTTTCTGCTTCTTTTTGCAGAAAGACCTCTCCTATTTTTAACGGAATCACCCAATCTGATAAAATTACGACGTATGCTGCATAACCCACCTTTATTATTTATTTATTCCGTTATAAATTATTTATTCCGTGGCCCACTGATCCTCTGCTCTCTGTTGAACTTTCGTTTCGTAGTTTTCCTTCAATTCATGCTTAAGAACTTGACTTTCTTTTATTCTTTATTAAACCATAAGTTATTCCTCTGTAGTTCATTGCGATTACTGTAGACGGGAACAAGTTTGTCGGCTGCTTCCCAGAATTTCTTGTTGAAGAAGTCCATTATTTCTTATGGGTTCTCTCCCTCTTAAGTCTGTTTCCCATGTTATCTTTCACAGTATATACATCTTATTTCCTCGTATTTATACATTCAGTTTGCCAGTCTGCTATCTCTAAACTTTGTCATGGAACTGTGTATATCTTCCCTACCAAAATGTCAGTACTCTGTGATAACCCATTCCCTATTGGCCCCAAAACTAATCTCCCTTAAAGTAACACCATGTATACATTAACAAATATATTAGATAAAAAATTACAACCTAATTTAGAATATATTGTGATAATTGATGTGTTGGCTCCGACAGGAGTGGTGTGGAGGGCGGGTCGGTCGGGCGGGAGGCTGGCAAGATCATCCACGGAGCAGCCCTCAGCTTCTCCTCTCCTGACTCTGGCGCCCACACCTACTCCATGGACCTCTCCGCAGGTTAGTAATCTATATCGTATAAACATTTGATGACCCAGGGCACGGGAGACATCTCCCGTCACGCAGGGTACAGTCGCACCTCCACAGATCTCCAGTATCAGCTCTTGATACTGGTGATGGCTCAAAAGGGCCACCACTTACGAGCTATTCATGCCCGCGCCACCTTTTGGGTGGCTTAATCTTCATCAATCAATCAATCGATGACCCAGGCCTCCTCCACAGATCTCCAGTATCAGCTCTTGATACTGGTAATGGCTCAAAAGGGCCACCACTTACGGGCTTTTCATGCCCGTGCCACCTTTTGGGTGGCTTAATCTTCATCAATCAATCAATCAATCGATGTCCCAGGAACAATACAGTTTATGGGGTGGATTCATTAAGGTGACTCCCCAGCCAATACACTCGATGTTTCCAGTAGACAGCATGGCGGAGGCTGTAGCCTATGTGTGATATCTGATAAGGAAAATACGTTTTTGCAGTGATGTCCCATATGTTATAAAACAGATGTATAATAAAATAAATATTGGATTGTTTTCATCTGATGAAAAGGAAACGTATACCTTTTTGCAGAGAATAACACAATGATCTGGTTGAAAAAATAACCCAATCCACACATGTGAAATGAAATGAAAGTGACGACGACGTTCCGATCCGTCGTGGACCCTTATATCGATACCGTTGTGACTTGATTAGAGTCCAGGACGGACAGAAACGTCGTCACGCTCCTTACACGTCCAATGTGTGAACTGCGCTGTTTATTTAATTATTAATTTACACACCTTACTGGTCCAAGATGTCTTGTTCCATTCAACTGAGTTCAAAGATTTGTCGAGATGTGTTCCCTGTGATAGGGCATGGGCTCTGGTTCAGCAAGTTACAGCCCCGCTCCTGTGCCAGGTAAGTCCACTACAGGCTCACCATAGCCCCTGCTTCTTGCAACTCTTTGTTCCAAGTACGAATCTTAAACAACAACAACAATCTGTGGTTCATTCAACGCAGGATTTCCTGATTTTGCTATATTGTTAATATGGATTTTTTTAATTGTTTTCTTATTATTCTATTATATTTATTTGAAAATATATTTTATGTATTATATATTAGATGTATTTTACATCATTTGTAATTCCTTGAATAGTGTTTACTATTTACAGCATTTTATAATTATCTTTTGTTGGTGAGTTTTACTTTATTTTAAACTCTGCATTTTTGTAAACTTAGGAATTTTCTTGCCTGATATTTCTACATTCCTCAAGTTTTATCGTAAGGACTTTCTCCCGACACAGCCCGACAGCTTCAGTTCGCCCTGGGTACTGGGGACTGCTCTGAAGAAGTTGAAGTGCAGCTGGTGTACGGTAGAGCCTCCCAGGAGGACCAGGCGCAGTTCCTCCCCATCGGGAAGAACGGCTACCTTACTCACGGGCCCGTAGTGAGCGCCTACGTGGCTGATGACGGTAGCGGATATCCCGACTGGGATAACGAGGCTCGGGCCAAACCCATCGGCGATGACGGAGGGAGTGGTGAGGTCCTCTACCCACCGCTTCCCGGGGAGTACCCGTCGGATCAACCTGATAGTTCCTCCCTTAGTACAATCCTGGCGGGGGTGGAATGCGAGTCATGGGAACCCGTGCACACCTTCAGGTGAGTCCTAGGGGGTAGGGGGGAGTGGACGGATAGAATTCCTGTATGTGGGTCTCGTGTCTCAACCTTGTACTACATGTACTGCTGTTTTGTATTACATTGAAGTACGTGTACTGCTATTATTCTTACGAGAAGGATCATGACCACTATCGGTACTCCAGGGCCGGTCCGTCGAGCGAGGTGCACATCCAGCGGGTCCCTGCCAGGTTCCGGACTCCAGGGGTGTGCGTGGGGTGGCGCGCGCTCCCAAACCTCGACAACCACACCTGCTGGGGCCTCGACGACGTCGCCCTCACCACCAACCACGCCTCCCAGCACCCCGTCCTTGACGACTTCGACCCCGTCGACCCCACCAACTGGATGTTCTTTCCGGGGGCCAAGGTTAAGGTGGGTTATGCAGCATACGTCGTCAGGTCATTCCTGCCTGCTTCACCAACGTATTCACTAGTCGCTTAAGGGGTGCTTTCAAAGGCTTTCCGACAATCCAAAAATATGCAGTCGGCCCCATCCTTCTCTATCTTTGCTAATATTTGTCACCTGATCATAGAATTACATTACATCAGCGAGGCAAGATTTACTACCACTGAACCTGTGCTTGTAGTGTATTACAAAGTCTCTTTTCTCCATACATCTATACATTCGTGCCTCTATACATCCCCGATTAAACAATGTGGTGTGGTTGCAGTGTTGTGGTGTGGTTGCAGTGTTGCGATGTGGTTGCAGTGTTGTGGTGTGGTTGCAGTGTTGTGGTGTGGTTGCAGTGTTGTGGTGTGGTTGCAGTGTTGTGGTGTGGTTGCAGTGTTGCGATGTGGTTGCAGTGTTGTGGCGTGGTTGCAGTGTTGTGGCGTGGTTGCAGTGTTGTGGTGTGGTTGCAGTGTTGTGGTGTGGTTGCAGTGTTGTGATGTAGTTGCAATGTTGTGGTTGCAAGATTTAAGGGAAAGTTGCACCATGCTTGTCACAGCAGAGGTCACGGTGTCGCATGAGGCCTATGGTAACTAACATGAACAGATTGAGGAAGCATGGACTTTTTGTGCTGCCTTTGCATGGTGTCTATGGCGGCGGTCTAGTATGTTTATTATGGTGAGAGTAGTGATGAGAGTAGTGATGAGTAGCTGTCTGTGTAGTTATGAAACTGGCACTATATATATCTTTGTGATGCACGAAGTTTTGGGGGTCAATATTGCATGATATTTGTAGCACTTGCTTGATGTTTCAAATATTTGCCGTCATGTTATTAGTAATGTCGATCGATGTTTTCAACGATGTTGATGTTTGCAGGAGTGGTGCGGGTCTGAGGGCCACAGCCTGGTGTTCGAGGGGGCGGGGGACGCCAACAGCAGGACCACAACGCGCCTTCTGGACCTCAGCGTCAAGCCTCCTCCAGGAGACATCATCGTCAGCCATCGCTTCTTCACCTCTCCTCCGAGCGGGTCAGGAAGATGCTGGGTTCTTGGTGTTGACATAAGTCTAATTAAAACAAGGAAATATAGATAAAAGAACTGGAGGACTATAAGTACAATATTGTAACTAATAGCCAGAACGCGCTACTTGGCCTAGTAAGCAAGGCCCGATTTACTTAACAGGCAGAGCAAGGCAGGTGGGAATTTAGAAAAAGGCAGCGATGCTTGTATATGTGAACAGGTGAGGGATAAACGCAGGTATAAGTAGACAGGAGAGGAATAAACACAAGTACAAGTAGACAGGAGAGGAATAAACACAAGTATAAGTAGTCAGGAGAGGAATAAACACAAGTATAAGTAGACAGGAGAGGAATAAACACAAGTATAAGTAGTCAGGAGAGGAATAAACACAAGTATAAGTAGACAGGAGAGGAATAAACACAAGTATAAGTAGTCAGGAGAGGAATAAACACAAGTATAAGTAGACAGGAGAGGAATAAACACAAGTATAAGTAGTCAGGAGAGGAATAAACACAAGTATAAGTAGACAGGAGAGGAATAAACACAAGTATAAGTAGTCAGGAGAGGAATAAACACAAGTATAAGTAGACAGGAGAGGAATAAACACAAGTATAAGTAGTCAGGAGAGGAATAAACACAAGTATAAGTAGACAGGAGAGGAATAAACACAAGTATAAGTAGTCAGGAGAGGAATAAACACAAGTATAAGTAGACAGGAGAGGAATAAACACAAGTATAAGTAGTCAGGAGAGGAATAAACACAAGTATAAGTAGACAGGAGAGGAATAAACACAAGTATAAGTAGTCAGGAGAGGAATAAACACAAGTATAAGTAGACAGGAGAGGAATAAACACAAGTATAAGTAGTCAGGAGAGGAATAAACACAAGTATAAGTAGACAGGAGAGGAATAAACACAAGTATAAGTAGTCAGGAGAGGAATAAACACAAGTATAAGTAGTCAGGAGAGGAATAAACACAAGTATAAGTAGACAGAAGAAGAATAAACACAAGTATAAGTAGTCAGGAGAGGATTAAACGCAAGTGTAACTGAAGGAGGGATTATAGGTGCACGTACATACATTGAAGGCTTGATTTGCGAGGATAATAAAGGTTAAGCCTTATCAACCGCAGACGGGAGTTATTAATGGCCGCCACAAGACCGTACTGACCAACCAGCAGGTATACTTTAGCCCTAACTAAGAGTTCAGGATCAATATTAACTGTGTATACACATCGAGAAGCAGGGCAGACATTTCAGTGTACATACTCTGATGAATATTTATAACAGCAAGGTACTAATAAGAACAAAGGTAACTGCAGAAGGCCTATTGGCTCATACGAGGCAGCTCCTATCTGATGCAAGCATAGGGAAGAGTCGAGGGTGTAGGCTTGCGCGGACAATCATGCACACACACACACACACACTCTCTTTGTTCTCGCTTTATGATTAGACATTAATATTTTTTTAATTTATACTTATTAATACATTGACCATGGCAGCGTTGCACCGAAATTAATATTTTGTATTGTTGGCACGTAGGTGGCTGACGAAGGGGGCGAAGGTGGCCGACTGTGCCGGCCAGAAGCAGCTCGTCTTCTCCAGCGCTGGAAGTCGCACGGTCTGCACGCCCTACGTCGATGCCAGGTATGGCCCCTATATCAGTGCCAGGTATGCCTCCCAACGTCGATGTCGGGCATGGCCCGTACATTGATGTATGCTGCCCCTACATCCATGTCAGGTATAGCCCCTATATCAGTGACTGGCATACTTCCCTACATCAATGCATGGCATACTTCCCAATATCAGTGCTTAGTATTTAATACCGATGTCACATATACTTCCCACGACTTGATAATAGTCCTGGACGGATCGAAACGTCCTCATTTCTTCACTTTTCTGATGTGTGGTTTGGTTATCATATCTTCAGCCACGTTATTGGGCTGAACGTTATGGAGCTTATGAGTACGTGACAATTAATATTCTTGGGATGAAGGTGAAATATAAGGTGGTGTTACAGGAGAGTTGGTGTGGTGACCATGTTGGCGGGACTGAGCGAGTGTCACACCGAACATAGTGGTATGGTGAGCCTGCGGGTGGTGGCCCAGCGTGGCGACGGTACTACGCTGCTGGGGGAGGAACTTCTCACTCGGTCCCTTCAGGCGTACACACTCCCCGTACCACCTCAACTGCAGCTTCAACACACCAGGTATTTCCCCTCCGTGTTCCAACTCCCTCACCCACATCACTGCTCCATGATCCTGTAAATTTGCCCGTCAGGGGGCCTGGTCTACTCAATACTGCTGTGGACCCTGTGAATCAGTGTTAGAGAGAGAATCTCTGTGAATCTTCTGAGAGTAAATTCAAAATTATTGTAGAGAAACGCCGAGTTAGACTTTATTTGGAAATAATGGTGAAATCAGGTTTAGAAAATAGCTTTTTCAGGTCATGTAAATCTAAACAGCGTTGCCGGCTCTGTAAGTCTGATTCTGTATTTTTGCGATTCAGTAAATGTAACACTTTATTGATGATGCTGGTTCTGTAAACTGAACCCTGCTGTAGGTCCCGAAATTTAAACACCGATAGCTTCTACAACATGTAACATTCGCAGGATCAGCCGAGTCTCACCCTGGCCATCACCGAGTCACCTCAACTGAATATATTTCTGCTGCAGGTTCTGTGTGGAGCAGAAGGAGGCGGGGAAGAAGGATCAGGACGTGTGGGTGTTGGACCACCTGACGCTGCTTCCCTGGCTCCCAGCACACCCTCAACACTTCTTCCAGGTCTGTGAGGCATTCTTCTCTCTCTCTGTGTCTCTCTCTCTCTCTCTCTCTCTCTCTCTCTCTCTCTCTCTCTCTCTCTCTCTCTCTCTCTCTCTCTCTCTCTCTCTCTCTCTCTCTCTTCTCTCTCTCTCTCTCTCTCTCTCTCTCTCTCTCTCTCTCTCTCTCTCTCTCTCTCTCTCTCTCTCTCTCTCTCTCTCTCTCTCTCTCTCTCTCTCTCTCTCTCTCTCTCTCTCTCTCTCTCTCTCTCTCTCTCTCTCTCTCTCTCTCTCTCTCTCTCTCTCTCTCTCTCTCTCTCTCTCTCTCTCTCTCTCTCTCTCTCTCTCTCTCTCTCTCTCTCTCTCTCTCTCTCTCTCTCTCTCTCTCTCTCTCTCTCTCTCTCTCTCTCTCTCTCTCTCTCTTAGGGTTCCTGAGGCTTCCACTGAAGCCTAATCAGGGTTTCACACAATGCACCCCCCATGCATCTAAGGCTTGGGGAGTACCCAGAGCATAGTTTCGAATCCTCCTCATGGCTCCTGATTTTCTCAGCAACATTATTATTAGTAGTACTATTGTTAGTGGTACTATTAGTAGGTTTTGTTAGTAGTTCTATTAGTAATAGTACTATTAATAGTAATACTACTAGTAGTAGTAGTAGTAGTAGTAGTGGAACTATTAGTATTAGTACTATTAGTATTAGTACTATTAGTATTATAACTTTTAGTAGTTTTAGCTGTCATAGTTGCATCAGAAGCAGGAAAAGTAGCAGTAGTTGGAGTCGAGGTGGAAAACACCGCCAGGAACACACAACAAGATCAACAGCAGCAGCAGCAGTAGTTGTATACTGTCACAAGTCACAAAGAGTAGTTTTAGCGGTGACTGCGTCAGGAGAAGGCCCTCATCATGACACTAATTGAGTCCTTGGGGGTGTGGGTGCAGGCGCGTGTGAACCTTGAGTGTGGAGGAGGTGTGAGCGAGGTGGATGTGGAGAGCAGCTCTGACGGAGGGGCCACTTGGACCTCCCTCCACCGTCGCTGCCTCCCTGGAGCCTGCCCAGGAGCCCACTCGGCCCTCACTTCGGCACTCCTGCCAGAGCACATCGACAGGTCAGCCTAACTTGTTGGTTTCTCGCACTCTTCTATTGGGGGATTGGGGGGGATGGGTAACGTCGGTGGCCAAGATGGGCTTCTTATCTGTTTACAGGTTACCTTGAGGTGCTTCCGGGGCTTAGCGTCCCCGCGGCCCGGTTGTCGACCAGGCCTCCTTGGGGGGGAGAGGGGTCCTTCTCGACCAGGGGACGAAGGTCCGTCACGGAACTATTTCATGTTATTACTCGGTATTAGAAGCAATCTGCCTCCACTCCTATGTACTAATGCATTAGTTGAAATCAGATCCCACAAATGAGCAATAATAATTACTAACATTTGGCAATATTTTGATAAACATTAGCCGAATTATAATTTACCCACAACATTGTATTTACAATAGACTCCGTTTCTGTATTTACGTATCCTAACTACTTCATACTTGCACAATATTTGTTATTAATGTATAAAATCCCATTTTAGTCAATCTGAATCACTGTCACTATATGTGTCCTTCTATGTCAGTGTGTACACTCATGACATCTTTCCATGATGTTTCACCAAGCTGCTTACTGTTCTGGTGCGTGTAGATGGGGCTTGGTGACCCTGCCGCTGCCCTACATCTCCCTCACGCCTAATACTCGACTGCGGGTGCGCCAACTGGACGACGACAAGGGCGCGAAACCCCGTTGGTGGGCGTTGGACAACGTGTACATCGGCAGGTGCCCTCAGGGATGCAACGGGCGGGGTCTCTGTCAGCCTGAAGGACGGTGCAAGTACGTTGGTGCTGTGTTACTGCTCCTGATGCAGGGGCCATTGTGTGTGCTATGTGAGAGCCATGTTATATACTGGATATATATACTCTCTCTCACTCTCACTCTTACACACTCACTGACTCTGCCATCGTGTGTTCGTGCCACCAGGTGTGAGTACGGGTACAGTGGATCATCATGCGAGGAGCCAGACAGAGACAACCCAGTGTATATTTCGGAGCCCTTCTCCACCACCCTTGTCAACAACGCCAACATACTCAAGGTGTGTCCCCAGTATGTCCCCCTTTCACGGCACCATACGCATCCATCTTACCATATTCTGTAGCGGCCTTGTTGCTGCACTTCGAAATGTATATGTACATTATACAATACTTACGCTGTCTGTGTTTGTGAGTATGCACGAGCATGCCCAGCAACAACCCAGGTGCCCAATTATGTCTATATGTGCGTGTGTGTGTCCACAGATGTCAGGGGGCTCGAGCAGCTACAGGTGTGGCGTGGTAGGAGCGGGCACAGCTGCCGTGTTCAGTGGGCGGGGGCCGCGCGCCCTCACCACCGTCGACATCAACACCACCAACGCACACTTTCTCCAGTTTAACTACGTCGCCGGCACCCACAGCGATGTGAGAAATACAATATAATAGTTTTTAGTCAAATAGATAACAGGTAGATTGAAGGTGTGACATAATTACCAAGTAAGGAGTTTTGTGGAGTATTGACGCGTGTTGGTCGACAGGTGGGTAAGTGTCCTGGACCAGACGAGGACAACGAGAGCGTCTACGTCCACTATTCTTGTGACGGAGGGGTCACCTGGCATCTACTTCACACCCTTCCCGCCAAAACCTACAAGGAACCCAGGTGGGTGACCTCCTTCCTCCACCTCACTGCCACTATGTTTTTTTTCCATGCGCTTCTATCACGAACCTTTACCACACTTCTCTACTACAAACCTTTATCATACACCTCTCTACAAACCTTTACCAAACGTCTATATCACGCCATACGCGTCTATCACACACCTCTGCCACAAACTTTCATCATAATCCTCTACCGCAAATGACAGCACCATCTGCACCCTTTACTTGCCACAAAGATGTCCCCAAGGCATCACCACCACACACCTTCCTTACCAGGGATGACCACAACGGATCAAGCAAGGGAATTCTCAACAGAGTAAGTGGTTCTGTTGTTCCTCCACTACACACCTGCCTCACGTGTATTCTCTACATCTGCACCACCTAACATGTGTCACATAGATTTTTTACACTCTTGCCACATATGCATACAATACAGGCTAGGCTCTCGCACACACAACAATACAATCCTTAACTGAATCATACGAACCACGAACCTAAATCATACTGAATCGTATTCCTCACGTTATATCCCCCCTCCTAAAGGGCAGTTCACTGTAGTTTGTAGAAAATAATTGTCTGGGCAAAGGATAGGAGAAATACTAAGTATTTCTTAATAAAGTAATAAAGAGTGAATGGTTAAGAAATCCTGGAACTGTATATTTGCTATATCCTGAGTAATATCTATCAAAGTAGCCCATTTAACATATATTATCGCAGATAGAGCCTCGAATTGATAGGTAACTGCTATGTTTTATTGGTGTAATATAAAAGCTATTGTTACACACTGGAACAGCCTTGGAACATGTCCACACACACTGGAGCAACCTTGGAACATGTACACACAAACTGGAGCAACCTTGGAACATGTACACGTACACACACTGGAGCAACCTTGGAACATGTACACACACTGGAGCAACCTTGGAACATGTACACACACTGGAGCAACCTTGGAACATGTACACGCACACTGGAGCAACCTTGGAACATGTACACGTACACACACTGGAGCAACCTTGGAACATGTACACACACTGGAGAATACTTGGAACATATACACGCACACTGGAGCAACCTTGGAACATGTACATGTACACACACTGGAGCAGCCTTGGAACATGTACATGTACACACACACTGGAGCAACCTTGGAACATGTACATGTACACACACTGGAGCAACCTTGGAACATGTACATGTACACACACTGGAGCAACCTTGGAACATATACACGCACACTGGAGCAACCTTGGAACATATACACGCACACTGGAGCAACCTTGGAACATATACACGCACACTGGAGCAACCTTGGAACATGTACACCAGAGGTGCTCTTACTATAGTTTCATAACCCGTGTTTAAACTTACGGTCCTTCTCTGCATACACATTTGCTGTTAAGTAAAAACGTGGTGTCAACACCGTCATTTGCAGCCACATATCGCTGGAGGTGCCTGGCGGGGCGCGGGGACCTGGCTGCAGGTTCCAGGTGTGGCAGGAGCGGCACTCTGGAGCTGGGCGGGACATCTGGGCCGTCGACGACCTCACCATCACCTCGCACATCTTCAACACCATCCAACTCGACTTTAGCGACGGAGCGGCCGCTAACAACTCTCTCAGGTAACTACTACTCAACCGGTTCTGGGTTTCTTTATTAAGATTCAATTTGTTTAAGCTTTTGTTATGATTTTAAGTTGTTGTAATCTGTTGCTGTTTATATTATATATAGAGTATATATAAATACATGTAGTGTTGTTAAGTGAAGAATAAACAAGTGTTGGTTTAGGTTCCACCTCGGGGAGGTGGGCGGGGACGCCTGCGGCCACGACTCCGCCCTCATCTTCGGGGACATCATTGCCAGCGGCGCCTCTCGCTTCATGGAGACCAAGTCCATCGGCGTCGGCCCTTCCTATATGATTCAGTTCGACCTGGTCATCGGCTGCGGCGACACACAGCCCCAGGAAACACCCAATAAGGTGCTGGTCGTCGCATCAGTCGCTACGAGTTTCCGTATGAACCGGCTTGCCTTGGATTGGATTTTCCCAGCAAAAATTGTATTGATATTTTGTGTTCAGTAGGAGGATGAACCTGAAAAATTTGCGTATCTGTCTAGGTTTATAAAGTTACACTTGTTATTACTGCATTGAGTAAGACTTGGATTAACAAAAAAATTAAGTTTTGCTTAAATAGGAAGGTTATCTTGAGGTTATCTTGAGATGATTTCGGGGCTTTAGTGTCCCCGCGGCCCGGTCCTCGACCAGGCCTCCACCCCCAGGAAGCAGCCCGTGACAGCTGACTAACTCCCAGCTACCTATTTACTGCTAGGTAACAGGGGCATTCAGGGTGAAAGAAACTTTGCCCATTTGTTTCTGCCTCGTGCGGGAATCGAACCCGCGCCACAGAATTACGAGTCCTGCTCGCTATCCACCAGGCTACGAGGCCCCTACAAATAATAGAATTAGAATAATAGAATTGGAATAATAGAATTGGAATAATAGAATTGGAATAATAGAATTGGAATAATATAATTTGCAAATATTTTTGTTCTCAAGAAACTTAGCATTCGTTAATTATCCTAATCTAAGACAACTGTCTTGTTGATCACCTGTCAATGTAAAGGGATCATCGATCACTTTAACACTCAAGATTTTGAAGAATGTGATGCATGTGTATAGTTCCAAATTTTACTTTGACAACGATTGTGGAATGTTTTATAACGACATAAAGTAATACCACTTACGGTAAACATATGATTTACGTGTCTCCGTGTATAGCGTTGCATTTGGTAGTGGAGACACATGGTTCATGTGGGGTTGCAGATGGTACTGGAGACAGATGGTTCACGTGGAGCATGAATCTGTATGTTGCTGTGTAGTAGATAGTCGGTTCAACTGTGATAGTGAAGATGATACTGGATACACATAGCTGAGGCAACATGGTGTGTGTGTGTGTGGGGGGGGGGGGGGAGGAGTGTGTTGTGCTTGAAGCCCAGCACACACGAACATCCACTGACCAGCTGGTGTGTGTTGCAGGTGGTGCTGGAGTACTCGGTTAACCACGGGATTACCTGGCAGCTGGTGGACCGGCCATGCACGCCCTCCACGCCTGGCTGTCACTCTCATTTCACCCGCGGCACCGTCTACCACGCCTCCGAGTTCCCCCACTGGAAGAGAGTCACCCTCAGACTCCCACAACACACATGGTAACCTCCCCTTCCTCTGCACCCCTCTCCCCCTTCCTTTTCACCCCTCTCCCCCTTCCTCTTCACCCCTCTCCCCCTTCCTCTTCACCCCTCTCCCCCCTTCCTCTTCACCCCTCTCCCCCTTCCTCTTCACCCCTCTCCCCCTTCCTCTTCACCCCTCTCTCCCTTCACCCCCCCCAAATAATTTTTTAATCCAGGTAACCTTCATTTATTAATTATATTTTTCTATATATTCACTAATTCTGAAAGTCCAAAGTTAGGGTTTAATAGGCAAGAAAAAATGGGATCACTAAGCTATTGTCATCGTGTTAGTTGAATCTTTGTCAGGAACTTTGCCAGAATTGTTGATGGTGTGGGTTAGAATGGATATTTTTTGTTTTGAAATATCAACTTATAATAAGAAGATTTTTGTTTTTAAATACTGGCTTTAGTGACCTCATGTCTACTCAAAGATATAAATTTTTTGACATATACAGTTTAACGAAGCTATTAACTGCATCTCTGTATTTGAATGTTCGTACATATATTTTACATCTTATTCACAAGTCATTTGCTTATGTGGTTTCCTATATAACATCTACAGAGTATATGTATGTGCTGTACTGAAGAGCATACATGCCTATATACATATGCCTATATACTAATCATGCCTATATGCATGATAATCATGCCTATCAATCTGTACACCTGTTGATTGACGGTTGAGAGGCGGGACCAAAGAGCCAGAGCTCAACCCCCGCAAGCACAACTAGGTGAGTACAACTAGGTGAACTAGGTGAGTACATATATATATCTATATGTGCATACACAGGTCGCCATCGACGAGGCTGCGACTTCGCCAGGCAGAGGAGAGCGAGATGATGGAGTCGTGGGCGGTAGACAACCTGTACATCGGCAAGCAGTGTCCTGGGCTCTGCTCCGGCCATGGTCACTGTACACACGACGGCTGCAGGTTAGTCCTCCTGCAGATGTGTACACTACCCCCTGGATCCTGCTGCAGGTGTGTACATCAACCCTGGGTCCTGTATCATGCCTGTAAGCTGGCCCTTTGCTTTTCTAACTAATAATTTGTGTACAGTGTATGCAATAGACATTTGTGCTATAGATCTACATGCACAGCAGTTTTGAAATTGTATTTTATAATTCAGATTAATTTAAGTATATAGCACCATTTTATTATGATGTATAAATCTTTTTAAATTATCTTGTGGAAACCTAAGTTACCTTGTGCCATCAGGTGTGACGATAACTTCCACGGACACAAGTGTCTCCCTCTTGACAAGCTTCACCGGGAGATCGACGCCACCTTCGACACCGGTGACGACGTTGCCAAGTATGAGTTTCAAGTGACGGGTGGCGCCCAGGCCACGCAGGAGGAGGGCTGCGGTAATGTTGTCTCCGGGAAGAGCTTGTATTTCGGAGCCGTGAGTATATCGTCGCGAGTTATCGTGTAGCGGGAAGCTTTCTGGAGGTGGGCCGGGGAGGTGCTTTGTGTTGGTCACCCCTCACACTCCTTCTTCAACCCTCTCCATCACTCTCACTCCTTCCTCGACCCTCTCCATCCCTCACACTCCTTCCTCAATTCTCTCCATCCCTCACACTCCTTTCTCCAGCCTCTCTATCCCTCACACTCTCCTTCCTCAACCCTTCTCATCCTTTACAACACTTCCTCGAACGTCACCATCCTTCACACCATTTCTTCACCCCCCTAACCCTCGGCCTACCACTAACACTCCTCAGCTAGTGAGGGCACTGAAGGCACTGTTTAGTAGTTGTCTTGGCCAGCATAGCAACTCTTGCTATGTCTTCAGACATTTAAGATGAAACCCTTTCAAAAGGAGCTAACTTTGCTTCACTTGACATCCGTATACGTCTTTATCTGATGTGAACATTTAATCCCGAGATCTGAACACAAAAGCTTCAAGTCAACAACATGTCCTTGTGACCGTGTGACTATAAATTGAACTCGCCTTAAAAAAAGGAAACTAATTTCCGGGAATATTCATTGATGTAAAACTTTTTACTCACATGTTTAAAAGTGTTTGATAGGAAATGTACCAATAAACTATCAATGTTGAATGTACCAATGTTAAATATGTGAACACGTGAGAGGGTAAATGACAAACGTGATGGTATTTTATTATGAAGGTTCTGATATTCTTTGTGTGTGTGTGTGTGTGTGGCGCACAGCCAGGAGTGCGGGAGTGGGAGAGTGACGACATCAACGCCCAGGACCTGGAGATCATACAGTTCGTGCTGGTGATCGGAAGCGGCATAGGCAGCACCTGCCTCCCGGGAGACCAGGAGGAGACCCTCAACGCCGGTAGCGTCGTCCTCGAGTACTCCACTGACGGTGGAATCAGCTGGTCCCTTCTGCAGGAGCTCCTTCCCTCTCATTACAGGACCCCCGCGTAAGTTACAAACGGTGCTTTCTGTTTTCTTGGTGTAATGCCTGGTATGTCTCAGGAGATTATGGAGTTGCGCTCTGGTTGTCGATCTGGAATAGCCTCTCCAGGGCACAAAGCCAGGGCAGGATAATACAACTTATTGAGCGTACCACCTTGGATAATCTACAGGCTGTTTCGTGGGGAGTTGGCAGACGAGGTGGTGAAGAGCGAGTCCGGGGTGGTGCGGTTCAGGCTGTGGCAGCCCAACCACCAGGACAGGAACCAGTGGGCCTTCGACAACCTCAGGATCTCCCACGACACTCACACCAGCTCCATCCAGGCAGACTTTTCCGTCAGTGTCTTGCGGCTCACAACCAGAATTCATCAAGCATTTACGCATCCATTTAGGAAACCTGTTCATCTCTCCTGCATCATGGCGGCTTGGTTTACGTTTATTTAACAATGTATGAGCTTCGAAGCACTATAAGATTCTTACAACAATAATAACTTTGGAGTGTGACGAGTCGAAGCTCATAAACCATTTAATAACGTAAATAAAGCTGCCATAATTGTTGAAAGATGTACATGTTTCGTAAGGGAATGCCTAAATGCTTGTTGTATCCTGGCCTTGAACCCATTATGTGACTGTCACCTTTCTCTCTCACCCTAAGGATTGGCTTGGGTTTCTTAATGAACTAATTGAACTAATTACGTATTGCGTTTGTTTGCGTGTATCGTTAATGTTTGTTGTTAGGCTCTTGATTGTTTTTGAATGAAGTTAGTGGTAATAACTTTGTCATTACTCCTAATATTATTAATCTTAGTGTTTGTGACTTGCTCTAATTTGTCTTTACATCAACAGGCTTTTTGTTGTTTTCAAGCAATGTTCACGGTTTAGTTAGTTTGTATATGTCTTCAGTAGTTACGTCATTGTTCGTCATCTCCACTGTGTTCATTTGTTTCTCATTGGTGCTTGTGTTAAGCCTTGTGGCAGCGGTGGTGGTCTGTATCGTCCGTAATGCTCCCATTCTCCTCCCCCCCCCCTCATACTTCTCAATTTGTGTCCTATCAATTTCCTGTTAATTTGGTATGGAATTTTCCGTCGTTATTCACTTGTTTCTTGTGTGTTTTCATTCTTCTTCTTTTAGTCTTGATTATTTCCTTCATCGTTTATCTTTTTTTGGCATTGTTTACACTTTCTACGGCTGTTTTGCTGATTTTCTTTCCATATATTTTATGTATTTGTCTTCATATATTTTGGCCGAATGTTGTTTTGTCACTATTAATATTTATTATACATTATGGCACAGCTCCAGGCCTTCAGCTTTTATTTCCTTTTGAGGGTTCCATGAACACCTTTATTGTTGAATATTACTTATACTTCACAAAGTGTTACAAGTGTGTGTAACACTTTTGAGATCACTGAGGTGCGTGACTTTTTTATTATTTTTTTTGCTGGGCTGCGTGTAGCCCAACTCCCTGGTGGCGTCTCCGTGGCTGAGGGTGACGGGGAACCATCACGCCAGCTACTGTGGCAGCGACGACGCTGCTCAGGTCATGGACGGTACCGAGCCCCTTCGTCAGGCAGTCACCAACCAGCTCACCTTGCTGCAGGAGGACGTTATCACTTTCCAGGTGTGTTAGTGTATGCATGTGTGTGGAGACTCTTTATATTGGTGTGGAGACTGTGTACTAGATGTTGTGGAGACTCTTTATATTGGCGTGGAGACTGTGTACTAGATGTTGTGGAGACTCTTTATATTGGCGTGGAGACTGTGTACTAGATGTTGTGGAGACTCTTTATATTGGTGTGGAGACTGTGTACTAGATGTTGTGGAGGCTCTTTATATTGGCGTGGAGACTGTGTACTAGATGTTGTGGAGACTCTTTATATTGGTGTGGAGACTGTGTACTAGATGTTGTGGAGGCTCTTTATATTGGTGTGGAGACTGTGTACTAGATATTATGGAGGTTATATATTAGATATTGTGGCGACTATATACTAGATATTGTGCAGACTGTATACTAGATATTATGGAGCTTATATACTAGATATTGTTGAGACTGTATACTAGATATTGTGGAGACTGTATACTAGATATTGTGGAGACTGTATACTAGATATTGTGGAGACTGTATACTAGATATTGTGGCGAATGTATACTAGATATTGTGGAGACTGTATACTAGATATTGTGGAGACTGTATACTAGATATTGTGGAGACTGAATACTAGATATTGTGGCGAATGTATACTAGATATTGTGGAGACTGAATACTGGATATTGTGGCGAATGTATACTAGATATTTTGATGACTGTATATTAGTGTTGAGACTGTATACAAGACAGTGTGGAGACTGTATACTAGATATTGTAGAGACTGTTTAAGAGGGTAACTGCACAATAGTATGAAGATTATCTCCAGAGCTGCATGATACTGTAGTAACCATAGAGACCACCTCGTGACACCCGCAGATCAGCGTGGGATGCGGCAAGGCGGCGGCGGAGGGGCGGCCGGTGCTCCTGCAGTACTCCAAGGATGGTGGGGTGAGCTGGGCGCTGGTGGTGGAGGGATGCCCTGCTGCAGCTCTCCACTGTCATGGCCCGAAGGAACCCAGCGTCTACCACCCGGGCCACCACGGACCCTGGACCCGCGTCCTTATTCCTGTCGACCACAGGCTGGCTCAAGGGTGAGGCTCAAGTGAAACTCGTTCAATATTGTATTAGAACTACATGATCATGGTTTTGTCATTTGTTATTGATAGTTGTGTGGGGTTCATCTGCCCTACCTCCCCGATTGAATCGTTGCCACTGTGCAAGAAAGGTTGGACTCGCAGCCTTTCCTTGCAGTCTCCCTCATTCACATCAACTGGACTGGTCAGTACAGCGACGACCTCGCTTCTTGAGGTCGGCGTTCGATCCCCCGACGATCCAGGTGGTTGGGGACCGTTCCTTCATCCGTTCTATCCATGATCCATATTCTTATATCCCTTCCAAGTGCTACATAGTCGTATTGTCATATCTATCTCTTTCTTCATAATTACTTAACCGTTATTCCATTATTACCACCTACAATGATACAATGAAAAGATAACATAGGTGTTTGTGACAGGTCAGTGCAGCTGCGGTGGGTGCAGGAGAACCCCAGTGAGACTCCTGCAGGAGAGTTTGCCTTACGTGGCCTCTACATTGGACCACCGTGCCCCTACGCCTGCCACGGTCATGGCCTCTGTACTGGCTCTGGTATCTGCAGGTGTGATGAAGGTTACAACGGTATGTATTGGTTATTGAAGTTAAAATGCTCAGGTGTACACGACATTATATGTTCTCTACGTTAACGACATTCGTGACCCAGTCGTTAACTGCAGCTCATTATATGCTACACTGACTATATCACTCCACTGACAACTTATCACGAAAAACTAGATTAAAGTGACATCCTGGGAATACAACTGATGATTTCAGACAAACCCAAGAAAATCCAAAATCACTTGTTTCTTTTACAACAAACGTATAAACAGTCCTAACTCTTGACGAAAACCTAGGCATACACTTGACTCCAAAGTCAACTCCTCTCTTCAGTCTGGCGTTCTCTTCCACATTCACCCACTGGATAATTTTGACTATATGTAAGTCCTAGTCTAGAGTCAGCAGTGATCGTGTTCAGTGGCCGGATGGGACAGTTAGCCGTTCGATCAGTCATTATTTGGCAGTAGTCGGTCAGTAGCAGAGGACCTGACAGGAGCGTCACACACTGGTGGAGTATGGCCCCGGCGTTGTGTTGAAGATCACCTTGTAGATGGAACTCCAGCGGCTACGACCGTCGCAGAGAAAATCTCCAACCAGGACTAGGGACGTCATTGGTGTTGGAGATCACAGCGACATTTATGAAGCCACCGGGGCGATGGAAGTGCCCCCCTGTGGCACTTCCATCGATCGTCTTCCATCGATCGTCCATACGTGATCGTCAACTTTTTGGGAACCACAGATGGGAAGGCCGCCAAACAGACTGATCAGTGGTTAAGGTTAACTGAGCAAGTTTAGTGGTCTATGCAATGTAGGAGCACATTAAGAAACACCCATATTTGAAGCGAACTATACATTGGGACAATCGTGGAACAGTTAAGTGATTATTTTAGAGTGTATGGAAAGTGTGGCGACTATTCGAGGATTACAAGTAGTGATGATCAACTATGAGGTAGTGTAGGGATTGTTCATTAGTGATTAAGTAAAAAGAATAATTAATTAGTAGAGATTACTTTTAACTGTTATTAATGAGAACAGTATTAGTGGCGAGGAACAGTGAATACAACTACGGTAACGAGAACATAATGTACAAGTATTCGGACCAACAAACTCTTAGGACAATACAAGCCTGATTTCAGTATCTGCTGCCACTCAGGGCGGGAGCAAGCTGAGTGGACCTGAGTACAAGTTGTGAGGAGATCAATATTCATCAAGAGTTGTATGATTTCTGGGGATGAGTCCTTCTGTCTGTTGAGTGTGTGGGGACACCTGTAGGCTGGGAGTTCAGCAAGAGACGCCATACTGATAACCTGGAAAAAGTGAACTGGCGAGACAATACTTATGGAGGATTGAGTGGGCTGGATCGGAGTGTTGTGTTGCTATTTACCGAGAAAGCATCATCAATTACTCTGCTTAATAGAACAGTTGTTGGGTCAGAGAGGCAGACTGGGACACACTCCACTCCAAGGAAGAGTTTTTATTGGGAGGAAGATTAGGGGGATACAGTAACACGAATATATTTTATTCAGTGTATTAAGGGGTCCAACTAGTTTTAGGACGATGATCATAAACCTAGTCTATACACACTGCAGAGAGAAGAGACAAGTGACGCAGGAAAGATATCAGGAGACACGGATCAAAGTGATATCACTATAATTTATCTTTCGAGTTTTTTAAATTCTAAACTATCTGGAACACAAGAAATTTAACATGTATTTGATAATTAGCATAAATATAAATAACGTTACACTGATATTTTCCAGGAACATACTGTGGGAGGTTTCCGTCGAAGAACCCAGAATGGATGCACGATAGCTTCGATACCGGGGAGGTGTCGGGGATGTGGGAGCGGGTGGAGGGTGGCGCCGTGTCCCTAGGCTGCGGTCCTCACCACTCTGGCAACGCCCTCCTCTTCTCCGCCGCGGGGCCCCGCTTCGCCACCACCACCCCCATCGACACACGATACATGAAGTAAATACTGCCGCTTGTGAAGTCAATATTGTTGACCAAACCACACACTGGAAAGTGAAGCGACGACGACATGTCAGTTCGTCCTGGACTATTCTCAAGTCGACTGTGAATGCTCCAGGACGGACCGAAACGTCGTCGTCGCTTCACTTTCTAGTGTGTGGTTTGGTCAACATATTTCAGCCACGTTATTGTGACTCCTCGTCTGCAAAGTCAATATTATCCGCTTACCAAAAAGTGAGATGTAGCTCTGTGTGCCTAACACGTGCAAGCCTTGTTCTATCTGGTGCTTTATTTTATTAACATTGCTGACACTCCAGCTCTTTGTCAGACGTAATTTTGAGGTTGTGGATGGAGGTGGCTTCATCAACTTCTTGTTTTAGTGCATTCTACATGTTGACCAGCCGTAGTGACTTGGTTTTCTGTCCGCCAGGTACTGCACTTCCTTACTCAGTTTAGTGCCTTTTCAGTTAACCAAAGCTTGTGATTCCATCTTGTACACCAGACTGTCTTGAGTAACAGTTTGAATCGTTTTTTAAGAATCCTGGAAGATGCAGTCTTCTCTTCCTTCTGTTTTCTGTCATATTTTGGTGACCTTGTCATAGAACTCCTTTTTTCGAATTTGTCAGGTATGATTTTCCTCCTATAAACCCATGTTCCCCTTCTGTTTATATAAACAGATAAACAAAAACGGATAAACTTCCGTTTATATAAACGGATAAATAAAAGTTTATCCTCTCCTCGTGCTCTATTATACTCATCCTTATTACCTTCATCAGAATTATGCAGTGAATGCATGCCAATGAATATTGTTATAATGCGTTGCCTCCTGTCTGTCCCACATTTGAAATGTAATTCTAAAGGTTTGGTTAGCGAGTGACAAAGTACTCGTGCGTATTCCGGTGCCACCTCTGTTGTTATCACGTCTGGTCCTACTGCTGCTGTCTGCCTGGTAGCTTCGTTGCCTAAATAGCATCCTCACTTACACTATTTTAGATCTTTATATATATTTTTTAGTGATCTGTGTTGCAGGTACCTGGTGTTCACCATGGCCGGTATTTCAGGTACCTGGTGTTCACCATGGCCGGTATTTCAGGTACCTGGTGTTCACCATGGCCGGTATTTCAGGTACCTGGTGTTCACCATGGCCGGTATTTCAGGTACCTGGTGTTCACCATGGCCGGTATTTCAGGTACCTGGTGTTCACCATGGCCGGTATTTCAGGTACCTGGTGTTCACCATGGCCGGTATTTCAGGTACCTGGTGTTCACCATGGCCGGTATTTCAGGTACCTGGTGTTCATCATGATTCGTGTTTCAGGTACCTGGTGTTCAACCTGCAGATAGGCTCCCTAGAGGGCAGGGGCCGGTGCCAGCTGGGTCATGTACCCCGCGATAACGTCGTCCTCGAGTACTCGACGGACAATGGCCAGACCTGGAGCCTCCTGCAGCAGTTTGAGCCTACTCAGACCACCAGCAGGTAGGCTCAACACCTTCCTATGCACGTGCCCGTCCACCATACAACTATAAAACAAAGTTGGAGGGACACTGTGCTTATTACAGTGAAGTTCTGTCATAGAGAGATAATGTATATGTAAAGTAACGTCATCTACAGACACTCTTGGCCTGATCTGTGTGTGTATCGTGTACAGGAGGGAGGCGTTCTTCATCCCGCTGCCACAGGCTGCCCGCGCCCGCCAGACACGCTTCCGCTGGTGGCAGGGCTACAACGACATGATGCTCGGTGATGACCCCACCCAGGGTGAGTGTGTGGGTCTTGTCCTGCCCCAGGGGTGAGTGTGTGGGTCTTGTCCTGCCCCAGGGGTGCGTGTGTGGGTCTTGTCCTGCCCGAGGAGTGAGTGTGGGTCTTGTCCTGCCCCAGGGGTGAGTGTGTGGGTCTTGTCCTGCCCCAGGGGTGAGTGTGTGGGTCTTGTCCTGCCCGAGGAGTGAGTGTGGGTCTTGTCCTGCCCCAGGGGTGAGTGTGTGGGTCTTGTCCTGCCCCAGGGGTGAGTGTGTGGGTCTTGTCCTGCCCCAGGGGTGAGTGTGTGGGTCTTGTCCTGCCCGAGGAGTGAGTGTGGGTCTTGTCCTGCCCCAGGGGTGAGTGTGTGGGTCTTGTCCTGCCCCAGGGGTGAGTGTGGGTCTTGTCCTGCCCCCAGAGTGAGTGTGGGTCTCGTCCTACCCCCAGAGTGAGTGTGGGTCTTGTCCTGCCCCAGGGGTGAGTGTGTGGGTCTTGTTCTGCCCCAGGAGTGAGTGTGGGTCTTGTCCTGCCCGAGGGGTGAGTGTGTGGGTCTTGTCCTGCCCCAGGAGTGAGTGTGGGTCTTGTCCTGCCCCCAGAGTGAGTGTGGGTCTTGTCCTGCCCCAGGAGTGAGTGTGGGTCTTGTCCTGCCCCAGAGTGAGTGTGGGTCTTGTCCTGCCCCAGGAGTGAGTGTGGGTCTTGTCCTGCCCCCAGAGTGAGTGTGGGTCTTGTCCTGCCCCCAGAGTGAGTGTGGGTCTTGTCCTGCGCCAGGGGTGAGTGTGTGGGTCTTGTCCTGCCCCCAGAGTGAGTGTGGGTCTTGTCCTGCCCCCAGAGTGAGTGTGGGTCTTGTCCTGCCCCCAGAGTGAGTGTGGGTCTTGTCCTGCGCCAGGGGTGAGTGTGTGGGTCTTGTCCTGCCCCAGGAGTGAGTGTGGGTCTTGTCCTGCCCCCAGAGTGAGTGTGGGTCTTGTCCTGCCCCAGGAGTGAGTGTGGGTCTTGTCCTGCCCCCAGAGTGAGTGTGGGTCTTGTCCTGCCCCAGGAGTGAGTGTGGGTCTTGTCCTGCCCCCAGAGTGAGTGTGGGTCTTGTCCTGGCCCCAGGAGTGAGTGTGGGTCTTGTCCTGCCCCCAGAGTGAGTGTGGGTCTTGTCCTGTTCCAGGGGGGTGAGTATTTATAAATTCCTACCCCCATAGTAAGATAAGAACCGCAGAAGGCCTATTGGCCCATATATGAGGCAGATATATATATATATATATATATATATATATATATATATATATATATATATATATATATATATATATATATATATATATATATATATATCCACCAAAACCTATCCAAGTACATGTCTAACCTACGCGTGAAACAATCCAGTTACCCTACGTCTATTTTGTTACCCGGTAATTTGTTCCATAAATCTTCGACCCTGTTTTCAACCCAGCACTTACCCAGGTGTTTCCTGAATCTAAGCGTATCTAACACAATATATATATACCTCTTTGGTGTACACTTTGATCCCTTATGTATATTTCAATTGTATCACTCACACACACACACACACAGACCGTCAGTAGTTTCAAAGCGTTATATGACAAAGAGTGCTGGGAAGACGGGACACCACGAGCGTAGCTCTCATCCTGTAACTACACTTAGGTAATTACACACACACACACACACACACACACACACACACACACACACACACACACACACACACACACACACACACACACACACACACACACACACAGCCCTTCACCTTACTCTTCTTCTTTCCAGAGAGGAATCCAATCTTTCGTCCATGTTGAAAGCCTACCTACGTCGTCTTGGAGCGATTTTGTGTTTTCTGCGCTTATATTTGTGCTCTTTGTCAATTTTGCCATATAATCGTGTGTCTAATGCGATTATATATATGATAATATATATTCAGTCTCCGTGGTGTAGTGGTAAGACACTCTCCTGGCGTTCCGCGAGCGATTTGTCCTGCGTTTGTATCCTGGCCAGGGAAGATTTACTGGGCGCAAATCCTTAACTGTAGCCTCTGTTTAACGCAACAGAAAAATGTGTACTTGGCTGTAACAACGATTCTTCGCGGCGGGGATCGTATTCCAGGGACCTGCCCGAAACGCTACGCGTACTAGTGGCTGTACAAGAATGTAACATCTCTTGTATATATCTCAAAAAAATAATAAATAAACAACAGAGGTCCCGGGACAGCCCCGGGGGGGCGGTACTCCGCTTTCAACAGTTTCTCACTCGGACCTAACTCTATTTACGCAAGTTCTCTGCTTTCTTTGGAATAACAATGCTTTAATTCAACTGAGGATAGGTTAATCTTCTCCCCCGAATATCATTTACCCTTCTATTTTTTTAATGATTCTACCGTGAGGCACAGTATCAAAGATTTTGCTAAAGTTCAGATATAGAATGTCACAATCCTTTCCAGTATTGACTGAATTTTAAGCAAAAAGAATGAGAGTAAAATTGTTAAATACGAACGATTTTTATTAAAACTGTAGTTTTGAATTCCTTATTAAACAATGTTTTGAAAAATGTAAACAAATGACTTTTGTAATTAACGATTCAAGCAGTTTTAAGCTAGTTGGAGGAAAGTGTGACGCAAGTAATTAAATCTTTCGTTTATTTATATACATTTTTCCAAGGGATCTGAGGTTAGTGTGAATATGATCATGACTCTGTATGTACATATATATATATATATATATATATATATATATATATATATATATATATATATATATATATATATATATATATATATATATATATATATATATATATAAGCCTATACTTGCATAAACCACAAGTGAAGATAAACAATCTTTGGACAACACCCACCAGTGGGACTCGAACCCAGAAAGCACAACTACCTTCCAGTAGCTGGCATAACTAGTATGCTTTAACCCACTACGCCATCAGACCTTACAAAAGAAGTAGATAGTTCGAGATATATATATCTCAAACATCTCTACCTCCCGAAGGCACCAGATGAGTGAGGGGTCAGTCTGCAATTTTCGTCAAGCCACTGTCAATGTGAGAGAACTCGTGTCCAGCTTATAAGCCTATACTTGCATAAACCACAAGTGAAGATAAACAATCTTTGGACAACACCCACCAGTGGGACTCGAACCCAGAAAGCACAACTACCTTCCAGTAGCTGGCATAACTAGTATGCTTTAACCCACTACGCCATCAGACCTTACAAAAGAAGTAGATAGTTCGAGATATATATATCTCAAACATCTCTACCTCCCGAAGGCACCAGATGAGTGAGGGGTCAGTCTGCAATTTTCGTCAAGCCACTGTCAATGTGAGAGAACTCGTGTCCAGCTTATAAGCCTATACTTGCATAAACCACAAGTGAAGATAAACAATCTTTGGACAACACCCACCAGTGGGACTCGAACCCAGAAAGCACAACTACCTTCCAGTAGCTGGCATAACTAGTATGCTTTAACCCACTACGCCATCAGACCTTACAAAAGAAGTAGATAGTTCGAGATATATATATCTCAAACATCTCTACCTCCCGAAGGCACCAGATGAGTGAGGGGTCAGTCTGCAATTTTCGTCAAGCCACTGTCAATGTGAGAGAACTCGTGTCCAGCTTATAAGCCTATACTTGCATAAACCACAAGTGAAGATAAACAATCTTTGGACAACACCCACCAGTGGGACTCGAACCCAGAAAGCACAACTACCTTCCAGTAGCTGGCATAACTAGTATGCTTTAACCCACTACGCCATCAGACCTTACAAAAGAAGTAGATAGTTCGAGATATATATATCTCAAACATCTCTACCTCCCGAAGGCACCAGATGAGTGAGGGGTCAGTCTGCAATTTTCGTCAAGCCACTGTCAATGTGAGAGAACTCGTGTCCAGCTTATAAGCCTATACTTGCATAAACCACAAGTGAAGATAAACAATCTTTGGACAACACCCACCAGTGGGACTCGAACCCAGAAAGCACAACTACCTTCCAGTAGCTGGCATAACTAGTATGCTTTAACCCACTACGCCATCAGACCTTACAAAAGAAGTAGATAGTTCGAGATATATATATCTCAAACATCTCTACCTCCCGAAGGCACCAGATGAGTGAGGGGTCAGTCTGCAATTTTCGTCAAGCCACTGTCAATGTGAGAGAACTCGTGTCCAGCTTATAAGCCTATACTTGCATAAACCACAAGTGAAGATAAACAATCTTTGGACAACACCCACCAGTGGGACTCGAACCCAGAAAGCACAACTACCTTCCAGTAGCTGGCATAACTAGTATGCTTTAACCCACTACGCCATCAGACCTTACAAAAGAAGTAGATAGTTCGAGATATATATATCTCAAACATCTCTACCTCCCGAAGGCACCAGATGAGTGAGGGGTCAGTCTGCAATTTTCGTCAAGCCACTGTCAATGTGAGAGAACTCGTGTCCAGCTTATAAGCCTATACTTGCATAAACCACAAGTGAAGATAAACAATCTTTGGACAACACCCACCAGTGGGACTCGAACCCAGAAAGCACAACTACCTTCCAGTAGCTGGCATAACTAGTATGCTTTAACCCACTACGCCATCAGACCTTACAAAAGAAGTAGATAGTTCGAGATATATATATCTCAAACATCTCTACCTCCCGAAGGCACCAGATGAGTGAGGGGTCAGTCTGCAATTTTCGTCAAGCCACTGTCAATGTGAGAGAACTCGTGTCCAGCTTATAAGCCTATACTTGCATAAACCACAAGTGAAGATAAACAATCTTTGGACAACACCCACCAGTGGGACTCGAACCCAGAAAGCACAACTACCTTCCAGTAGCTGGCATAACTAGTATGCTTTAACCCACTACGCCATCAGACCTTACAAAAGAAGTAGATAGTTCGAGATATATATATCTCAAACATCTCTACCTCCCGAAGGCACCAGATGAGTGAGGGGTCAGTCTGCAATTTTCGTCAAGCCACTGTCAATGTGAGAGAACTCGTGTCCAGCTTATAAGCCTATACTTGCATAAACCACAAGTGAAGATAAACAATCTTTGGACAACACCCACCAGTGGGACTCGAACCCAGAAAGCACAACTACCTTCCAGTAGCTGGCATAACTAGTATGCTTTAACCCACTACGCCATCAGACCTTACAAAAGAAGTAGATAGTTCGAGATATATATATCTCAAACATCTCTACCTCCCGAAGGCACCAGATGAGTGAGGGGTCAGTCTGCAATTTTCGTCAAGCCACTGTCAATGTGAGAGAACTCGTGTCCAGCTTATAAGCCTATACTTGCATAAACCACAAGTGAAGATAAACAATCTTTGGACAACACCCACCAGTGGGACTCGAACCCAGAAAGCACAACTACCTTCCAGTAGCTGGCATAACTAGTATGCTTTAACCCACTACGCCATCAGACCTTACAAAAGAAGTAGATAGTTCGAGATATATATATCTCAAACATCTCTACCTCCCGAAGGCACCAGATGAGTGAGGGGTCAGTCTGCAATTTTCGTCAAGCCACTGTCAATGTGAGAGAACTCGTGTCCAGCTTATAAGCCTATACTTGCATAAACCACAAGTGAAGATAAACAATCTTTGGACAACACCCACCAGTGGGACTCGAACCCAGAAAGCACAACTACCTTCCAGTAGCTGGCATAACTAGTATGCTTTAACCCACTACGCCATCAGACCTTACAAAAGAAGTAGATAGTTCGAGATATATATATCTCAAACATCTCTACCTCCCGAAGGCACCAGATGAGTGAGGGGTCAGTCTGCAATTTTCGTCAAGCCACTGTCAATGTGAGAGAACTCGTGTCCAGCTTATAAGCCTATACTTGCATAAACCACAAGTGAAGATAAACAATCTTTGGACAACACCCACCAGTGGGACTCGAACCCAGAAAGCACAACTACCTTCCAGTAGCTGGCATAACTAGTATGCTTTAACCCACTACGCCATCAGACCTTACAAAAGAAGTAGATAGTTCGAGATATATATATCTCAAACATCTCTACCTCCCGAAGGCACCAGATGAGTGAGGGGTCAGTCTGCAATTTTCGTCAAGCCACTGTCAATGTGAGAGAACTCGTGTCCAGCTTATAAGCCTATACTTGCATAAACCACAAGTGAAGATAAACAATCTTTGGACAACACCCACCAGTGGGACTCGAACCCAGAAAGCACAACTACCTTCCAGTAGCTGGCATAACTAGTATGCTTTAACCCACTACGCCATCAGACCTTACAAAAGAAGTAGATAGTTCGAGATATATATATCTCAAACATCTCTACCTCCCGAAGGCACCAGATGAGTGAGGGGTCAGTCTGCAATTTTCGTCAAGCCACTGTCAATGTGAGAGAACTCGTGTCCAGCTTATAAGCCTATACTTGCATAAACCACAAGTGAAGATAAACAATCTTTGGACAACACCCACCAGTGGGACTCGAACCCAGAAAGCACAACTACCTTCCAGTAGCTGGCATAACTAGTATGCTTTAACCCACTACGCCATCAGACACGAGTTCTCTCACATTGACAGTGGCTTGACGAAAATTGCAGACTGACCCCTCACTCATCTGGTGCCTTCGGGAGGTAGAGATGTTTGAGATATATATATCTCGAACTATCTACTTCTTTTGTAAGGTCTGATGGCGTAGTGGGTTAAAGCATACTAGTTATGCCAGCTACTGGAAGGTAGTTGTGCTTTCTGGGTTCGAGTCCCACTGGTGGGTGTTGTCCAAAGATTGTTTATCTTCACTTGTGGTTTATGCAAGTATAGGCTTATAAGCTGGACACGAGTTCTCTCACATTGACAGTGGCTTGACGAAAATTGCAGACTGACCCCTCACTCATCTGGTGCCTTCGGGAGGTAGAGATGTTTGAGATATATATATCTCGAACTATCTACTTCTTTTGTAAGGTCTGATGGCGTAGTGGGTTAAAGCATACTAGTTATGCCAGCTACTGGAAGGTAGTTGTGCTTTCTGGGTTCGAGTCCCACTGGTGGGTGTTGTCCAAAGATTGTTTATCTTCACTTGTGGTTTATGCAAGTATAGGCTTATAAGCTGGACACGAGTTCTCTCACATTGACAGTGGCTTGACGAAAATTGCAGACTGACCCCTCACTCATCTGGTGCCTTCGGGAGGTAGAGATGTTTGAGATATATATATCTCGAACTATCTACTTCTTTTGTAAGGTCTGATGGCGTAGTGGGTTAAAGCATACTAGTTATGCCAGCTACTGGAAGGTAGTTGTGCTTTCTGGGTTCGAGTCCCACTGGTGGGTGTTGTCCAAAGATTGTTTATCTTCACTTGTGGTTTATGCAAGTATAGGCTTATAAGCTGGACACGAGTTCTCTCACATTGACAGTGGCTTGACGAAAATTGCAGACTGACCCCTCACTCATCTGGTGCCTTCGGGAGGTAGAGATGTTTGAGATATATATATCTCGAACTATCTACTTCTTTTGTAAGGTCTGATGGCGTAGTGGGTTAAAGCATACTAGTTATGCCAGCTACTGGAAGGTAGTTGTGCTTTCTGGGTTCGAGTCCCACTGGTGGGTGTTGTCCAAAGATTGTTTATCTTCACTTGTGGTTTATGCAAGTATAGGCTTATAAGCTGGACACGAGTTCTCTCACATTGACAGTAGACACGAGTTCTCTCACATTGACAGTGGCTTGACGAAAATTGCAGACTGACCCCTCACTCATCTGGTGCCTTCGGGAGGTAGAGATGTTTGAGATATATATATCTCGAACTATCTACTTCTTTTGTAAGGTCTGATGGCGTAGTGGGTTAAAGCATACTAGTTATGCCAGCTACTGGAAGGTAGTTGTGCTTTCTGGGTTCGAGTCCCACTGGTGGGTGTTGTCCAAAGATTGTTTATCTTCACTTGTGGTTTATGCAAGTATAGGCTTATAAGCTGGACACGAGTTCTCTCACATTGACAGTGGCTTGACGAAAATTGCAGACTGACCCCTCACTCATCTGGTGCCTTCGGGAGGTAGAGATGTTTGAGATATATATATCTCGAACTATCTACTTCTTTTGTAAGGTCTGATGGCGTAGTGGGTTAAAGCATACTAGTTATGCCAGCTACTGGAAGGTAGTTGTGCTTTCTGGGTTCGAGTCCCACTGGTGGGTGTTGTCCAAAGATTGTTTATCTTCACTTGTGGTTTATGCAAGTATAGGCTTATAAGCTGGACACGAGTTCTCTCACATTGACAGTGGCTTGACGAAAATTGCAGACTGACCCCTCACTCATCTGGTGCCTTCGGGAGGTAGAGATGTTTGAGATATATATATCTCGAACTATCTACTTCTTTTGTAAGGTCTGATGGCGTAGTGGGTTAAAGCATACTAGTTATGCCAGCTACTGGAAGGTAGTTGTGCTTTCTGGGTTCGAGTCCCACTGGTGGGTGTTGTCCAAAGATTGTTTATCTTCACTTGTGGTTTATGCAAGTATAGGCTTATAAGCTGGACACGAGTTCTCTCACATTGACAGTGGCTTGACGAAAATTGCAGACTGACCCCTCACTCATCTGGTGCCTTCGGGAGGTAGAGATGTTTGAGATATATATATCTCGAACTATCTACTTCTTTTGTAAGGTCTGATGGCGTAGTGGGTTAAAGCATACTAGTTATGCCAGCTACTGGAAGGTAGTTGTGCTTTCTGGGTTCGAGTCCCACTGGTGGGTGTTGTCCAAAGATTGTTTATCTTCACTTGTGGTTTATGCAAGTATAGGCTTATAAGCTGGACACGAGTTCTCTCACATTGACAGTGGCTTGACGAAAATTGCAGACTGACCCCTCACTCATCTGGTGCCTTCGGGAGGTAGAGATGTTTGAGATATATATATCTCGAACTATCTACTTCTTTTGTAAGGTCTGATGGCGTAGTGGGTTAAAGCATACTAGTTATGCCAGCTACTGGAAGGTAGTTGTGCTTTCTGGGTTCGAGTCCCACTGGTGGGTGTTGTCCAAAGATTGTTTATCTTCACTTGTGGTTTATGCAAGTATAGGCTTATAAGCTGGACACGAGTTCTCTCACATTGACAGTGGCTTGACGAAAATTGCAGACTGACCCCTCACTCATCTGGTGCCTTCGGGAGGTAGAGATGTTTGAGATATATATATCTCGAACTATCTACTTCTTTTGTAAGGTCTGATGGCGTAGTGGGTTAAAGCATACTAGTTATGCCAGCTACTGGAAGGTAGTTGTGCTTTCTGGGTTCGAGTCCCACTGGTGGGTGTTGTCCAAAGATTGTTTATCTTCACTTGTGGTTTATGCAAGTATAGGCTTATAAGCTGGACACGAGTTCTCTCACATTGACAGTGGCTTGACGAAAATTGCAGACTGACCCCTCACTCATCTGGTGCCTTCGGGAGGTAGAGATGTTTGAGATATATATATCTCGAACTATCTACTTCTTTTGTAAGGTCTGATGGCGTAGTGGGTTAAAGCATACTAGTTATGCCAGCTACTGGAAGGTAGTTGTGCTTTCTGGGTTCGAGTCCCACTGGTGGGTGTTGTCCAAAGATTGTTTATCTTCACTTGTGGTTTATGCAAGTATAGGCTTATAAGCTGGACACGAGTTCTCTCACATTGACAGTGGCTTGACGAAAATTGCAGACTGACCCCTCACTCATCTGGTGCCTTCGGGAGGTAGAGATGTTTGAGATATATATATCTCGAACTATCTACTTCTTTTGTAAGGTCTGATGGCGTAGTGGGTTAAAGCATACTAGTTATGCCAGCTACTGGAAGGTAGTTGTGCTTTCTGGGTTCGAGTCCCACTGGTGGGTGTTGTCCAAAGATTATATATATATATATATATATATATATATATATATATATATATATATATAGTGTAATATGTATTGGGCAGAGGAGCGGGCAGAATGGCACCTGGACAACGTGATGGCACTGGCCAACGAGACGCTGCCCCGATCCCTCTACGATGCCTTCGACGGCAACAGGTCGGAGGCCAGCCCGTGGTTCCTGATGGCTGGAGCCTCCGTCGCCCCAGCCTGCGGCAGGGACACCAATGTCCTCCATTTCTCCGGCCAGCAAGGTAACACCTCACTTTTCCTGGTGAGTTTTCTCGTTTAATTTTAACGCTGAGCTCTGTTCCTGATTCAATAACACTATTGTATGTAATTTTTTTCCTCTGGGTAGTAAGTGTCACTGTATTTTCTAATTGTTTATGCCTCCGAAGTATAAAGAAATGCCTATTATTCCCGTCAATCGTTGCTTTGACATTTGTCTTAAGCAGCTTAGGGAGGATGTCTTGAAACTTGCCTAAAGGCTGCCGACTCCTTACCTTGAGCCGTGAGAATGTGTTGATTAAGAGTCGACAGCCTTCCTCCAGTAAAATGTGTTTTTAGAAATGGGTGTATCACCTAACCCTTTGTCTGCTTGACTGGGAACGATTGAGGCTTAACAATTGTGGAACTGGGTGTCTGAGAGACTATACGTGCATCAAACCACATATATTCTAATTTCTAAAATATGACCTAGGGTTGTCTTGAAGTATGTTGTGTGTCGTGAAGTAATGGTACCAAAGTTGGTTATTGTGTAGCGTGACTAAGATAGGGCAGTTCGGGACTTTTTATAGCAAAAAAAGTGATATCAGATTAAATTATATCACTCTCCTGTTTCTAAGTTACTGTGCTGTTGACTTGCATATAATTTGTCTTTCCTGGCATGTAGTCGTAACGGTGTAGAATGGCAGGATCTGACGAGGATGCAAGGATGTTCTACTGGAAAATACCGTTGCCTTCTTGAAATTCGGCAGCACCCAACAGACTTTATAGTCTACTATATCACCAAAGTGCACAAAATAATCCCACCATTGACGCCTAAATATTTCCTTATCAGCCCCCAAGTACGCGGAAACGTGGGACATTCGGGCATCAGAGGCCACAGTTATCCAGTTCGACATCGAGGTGGGTTGCAGCGGGCCACCTTCGCCAATCAGCGTGCACCTGCAGTACTCGACAGACCACGGCAAAAACTGGAAGCTGGTGCGAGAGCTGTGTGCCCCGCCCCACGTCGAGTGCGACACCTTCCACCTGCCCACCAGCTACAGCGCCGCCGTCACCCCTGGCTGGACCCGCGTCACCACCACCCTCCCCAAGACCACTGTGTAAGCAACCACTTTTCCTCATCCTGTTACGATTCTTACTTTACTTATCCGAGGCCAATGGTAGAAAATAGTATGTGTCTTTCGCAGGGGTTTTGTATAGGTGGTTTTACATGTCTTTTTGTTTTAAGATTTTAGCGTGTTTTGAATATATTTCAGAGGCGAGCGGACGCGAGTTCGGGTGGTGGAAGAAGGTGATGGTGGAGGCAAGGGGTCACGGGGCGGGTCCTGGGCCATCGACAACATCTACCTGGGTGAGACCTGCCCCTGGATGTGCTCCGGTCACGGCTACTGCGACCACCACTCCTGCAGGTCAGGGCCTCTCAATACCACTTATTCGAAATTATACTAGATTTCGGCTTTACTCAAGATGCAGAGTTTATACCAGGACATGTATCCTCACCCTTAAATGTTGACTGTTGGCTGGTAACTGTATCTGACTCTGCACTTTCTTTGAATAGTTACTTGGTTATTGTGTATATTTTGGTTTACTAGTATACATATGTTTACAAGTAAACGAAGGAGTGAAAAAGTTAATAAAATGACAGTCGGTAATCAATTATTGTCCCGTAAAAAGCACTCCTCTCCCACTGTAGGTGACCCACAACACTCGCATACACTGTAGAGGACCCTCTTGTAGGTCTCGTCTCCTTCCCACTTGACCAGCTTGGTACAGGAGGCCAAGCTGGTCTCCCGTACATCTATCTGCATTTATCTCCGTCTCTGTAGACTTTATTTATTTTAATCTGGTGTCTTCTTAATGCTTGTAATGATGTGTAAGGCGTGAGCGTGTGTAACTGTGTTATTGCATCAATAAACTTGTGAACAAGTGTGCCACTGAGTGTATGTATCATTGGACCAGCCTTCCACCTCTCCTGTACCAGGCTGGTCCATCTCCTCTGTGCCAGACTGGTCCACCTCCCTTGTGCCAGGCAGGTCCACCCCCCCCCTGTTCCA